GCTACTATCAGCTAAAACAATGATAAGGGAAAATAACAAGGGAAGAGAATACGATACCACCGGCCAAGAAAACGAGTTCCACCCGGAAGCCCCTGTCCTTCCGGGCAACTCCCAGTTACCCCCCACCCCGGGCATGACGTGCTGTGGTATGGAATACCTCCCCGGCTAGCCCGGGTCAGGCGCCCCGTCTCTGCTTCCTCACAGCCTCCCCTCCTCCCTGGCAGAGCATGAGCCTCACAGAGTCTTTGGTCAGGGTAAACATCACTTAGCAACAACCGAAAACATCGGCTTCACCAACGCTGTTCTCAAAACTAGAAGTCAAAACACAGCACTGCACCAGTTAACACAAAGGAAAAAACATGACTGCTACTGCTGAACCCAGGACAGGTAGCTAAAGGAGTGCATTTGGGCATTGGATCAAGAACATGCACATACTTTTTTCAGGCAAAGCAAATTAACTCAATTTCCTTGATGACAAAATTTAAAAATCAAAAAGGAACAATTCAAAATCTGCTATTAAACTCTTGAAGAAAAGAGAGTTTTTCCTCATCACTTTTCCAAACTTTCCATCACTTTTCCAAACATTAAAGACTATAACAGAATTAAGGCCAACTGCCAGCTCCCCCAATCAATCCTGGGGACTGGCATGGTAAAAAAATAAATAAACCAAAACCTAACACTAAAAAAAATCCCAAATACTACCTTCCAGGCTCATTCAGAGTTACCATCCATCTCCACCCAGTCTGCAACCATTCTTGCATCTTCGATGCATTAACAGTCATGTAAGTTTTGATCAACATGTCTTTACTTCAGCTGTAACATATACTTTATTCCTCAAAACAAATGGGCACCCAAAGCCCTAATCAACATTCATATTAATTATAAATTGTAAACAAAGAATTGTAAGACATATTGACAGAGGAGGACTAAATTTTTTTTCAGAGATGGTAACCGTGCATCACCTGACTCATGTTAGACTGCCTCTGTACACATTGCTAATTTACAGGAAATTCAGGGTAACAGCTTAATTTTTCATAAATTCTGAGCTAATGTCGTGGTGTAAGCCCAGCCGGTAACTCAGGACCATGCGGCTGTTTGCTCACACTTCACCTTCCCCCCTTCCCGGGCAGGATGGGGAGGAGAATTGAAAGAATGTAAACCCCATGGGTTGAGATAAGAACAGTACAATAACTAAAGTATAATACAAAACTGCTACTACTACCACCAATAATAATAATGATAAGGAAAATAACAAGGGGAGAGAATATAAAACTAAAAGGGGAAAGGAATAAACCCCACACTAAACCCAAGTGATGCAACACAACCAATACCCAGCCTGAACCGAGCAGTGATTGGTCCCTTCTGGGTAACTCCCCCCAGTTTATATACTGGGCATGACATGCTGTGGTATGGAATACCCCTTTGGCTAGTTGTCCTGGGTTCAGCAGCAGCAGTCATGTTTCTCCTCCTTGGTAGCTGGTGCAGTGCAGTGTTTTGACTTTCAGCTCGGGAACAGAGCTGATAACAATGATGGCCAAGGACTTTGTGAGGCTCATGCTCTGCCAGGGAGGAGGGGAAGGCAGGAGGAAGCAGAGACAGGACACCTGACCCAAACTGACCAAAGAGGTATTCCATACCACAGCACGTCATGCCCAGGAGGTAACTGGGAATTAGCCGGAAGGGCTGGGAGACTGCAGGGTTGGAGGAGGTATCGGTCAGAGCTTGGTCGGGCTTGGGGGGCGAGTTATCGGTCGGCTGGTGGTGAGGTGTTGTATTCTCTTCCCTTGTTATTTCCTTTATCATTATTATCATTGGTGGTAGCAGTAGTGATTTGTGTTATACCTTAGTTACTAAACTGTTCTTATCTCAACCCGTGGGAGTTGCATTCTTTTCGATTCTCCTCTCTGTCCCTCCGGGAGCAGGGGGAGGGCAAGAAAGGGGGGGGAAGTGAGCGAACGAATTACCTGACTGGGTTTAAACCACGACACTAGTTCAGGTCAGATGTCCTGTCTCTGTTGCCTCCCAGCTTCTTCTGCTCCTCCTTACTGGCAGAGCATGAGACACTGAAATGCCCTTGATGAGCGTAAGTGCTACTGAGCAAGAACTAAAACATTGGTGTGTTATCAGCATTGTTCTCAGACTAAAGCCAAAACACAGCACTGCACCAGCTACTAGGAAGGAGAAAAATAACTGTTACAGCTGAACCCAGGACACACTTTCAGATGGTTGCAACTGAAACCTTAAAAGTTTGGCCACAGGAGAGACTCCTGCCAAGACCAGCCACATACTGAACTAAGCAGTATTTAAAGTGATTAAGAAGAATATGCCACAGCACCTGGGCTGGTTTTCATTACAGTCCTGAGGTCCCTGCAAGACAGAGTGCACAAGATAGCTGAAGTCTTACCAAGATTTTGAATGACTGATTTTCATACAGTAGCAGTTGAAGTCCCTCTCCCTGAAGATGCTGACAAGATGCTGACACTTCCCAGCTTCTTAGACACTGACCTGTGAATAAAGGCACCAAACTCTGCTCTCAGCTGGAGAGCAGAGCAAGCCTCACTGTTGTTCCTAAAGCTGGGTTCTTTTACCCAGTGTGCAAAAGCCAATCAACACATTGAGTTATTTGTGGGTCCCTTCCATGGGGTGCAGCCCTTCAGGAACAGACTGCTCCAGCATGGGGACCCCACAGGGTCACAAGTTCTGCCAGAAAACCTGCTGCAGCATGGGCTCCTCTCTCCATGGGGCCACAAGTCCTGCCAGGAGCCTGCTCCAGTGTGGGCTTCCCACAGGGTCACAGCTTCCTTAGGGGCACATCCCACCTGCTCTAGCATGGGGTCCTCCATGGGCTGCAGGGTGAATATCTGTTCCACTGTGGACCTCCATGGGCTGCAGAGGGACAGCCTGCCTCACCATGGTCTTCTCCACAGGCTGCATGGGAATCTCTGCTCTGGCACCTGGAGCACCTCCTTCCTCTCCTTCTTCACTGACCTGGGTATCTGCATAGTTGTCTCTCACATATTCTCACTCATCTTTTCCAGTTACTGTTGCACAGCAGTTTTTTCCCCTTCTTAAATATGTTATCACAGAGGCACTACCACTATTGCAAATTGGCTCAGCTTTGGCCGGCAATGGGTCCATCTTGGAGCAAGCAATGCAACAGAATGCTCCCAGAAGTGACAGCAAAGCACTTTGAGTTTTGTTTTCCAGCTTTTCTGATTAATCAGGAACCCCATTTCCTTGTTTCAAACTGTCACATTTCTCACCTGGGAAGGAAAAGCTGGGCCACTGTTTTACCTGCACCCACAGAGGCAGCAGCTGCTGATCCACCAGCTGCTGAATGCCCTTCTTAGACAAATTTTGATTTCAGCCCCCACCACTATAATCTGGTGAAGCTCAGTGCTACAGGATATGATGCAAGACCATCTGCCCTGATCCTACTCATCATCCATCTCCACCTGCCAGCTACATCTCTCCTCACTTTTTTCCTTTTTTTTAATTATTTTTTTTAAAGGTATGTAATTAACATAGTTGAGCACTTCACAGAGAATTCCAGGAGTTAACACTGAACCCAAATTAGATGTTTTGGTCATATACAGTTAACAACATAATGGAGACAAATGCCATCTCCTTCAGAGTCCTAAAAACTCCTACTGAAAAAACTTAACTGAGGCAATGAGCCAAGTCATTTTCCCCTCCTGAAGTCCAATGCTCCCAGCTCTATGCTGTAACATGAGTTTGGATCCCCAGGCTTAGTTGTTGCAACAAAACAAAAATAAACCACAGAAAAAAGCAGCGCATTCCACCACTGCAGCTGACTGTCAAGAGATCTCAGTTGTTCCTCCCAACACAGTGTTCATGCGTGCCTACAAGAGCAGGCAGCACCTGGGCAGGCAAGATTCATCAAGTTCTTCATCTGCAGAAGCCAAAGAGCATGAGAGATAGGAGCCATGACACTGGGAGTTATATTTGATGGTTTTATTAGTTGTTCTTCTGCAGAATCAAAATATTTAGCAAATTACTTCAAAGATTCCTCAAGACTGCTGATATTGTATATATTTAGAACTTGAACAATGTACAAAGTAATACTTTGAACTATTTAAAACAACTTAAAACCTGATTTCTAGTACTAGATCTTATTATGCAATTCTATAGGAGTGTGAGAAATGGAACTAATGCAGTATATTTGTTTTAAAGGAAGTGCTTGAAAGAAAGCTCCTGCATCACAATGGTTATTATTTAAAATAAAAAGATAACTGATTTCCTATCGGGGAAATATCCTACAAACCTGGGGGATTAAGAATACCGAGCTCCAGCTCTCTGCCTTCAGGTTCAAGAACCAAGACAGCTTACAGGTTGTCCAGGTAGAGTTCACAGCTTACTTGTTTCAAGAGAACTTACACATCACTCAGCATTGGACACTCATGTCTGGCAGGAGTGTTTGATGCATGGGTAAAAAAACAAACCAAACAAGGAACACCCCACCCCCCCCACCCCCCCGAAACAGCCTCTTTCTTTATGCATAACGACAGTTTCTGAACCAGTGTTTTACTAAGTTACAAACTAACTTTCAACTAAAAAAAACCCTCCATAAGTAATTTGGTACAAGCAGACACAACACCATGAAAGCAGTTTCAAAGAACCAAAGCATCCTAGTTTCAGAACCAACACAGTATCTTCTGTCCAACTCCAGTTCAACAGTTCAACCATTCCCATCTCTACCTATGTACAATTCCAGTAGAGGCTGAGCAGTCTAAACTCTGTGGCCAAGCTGGAAAAAGGAAACTTAGTAAGGGACACTTAAAAAATTTAATTTAAGAAAGAAAGTTGACTTTAAGTGGAAAGAGAAATGCTAGAGTGATGCATGCAGGTGGGCTTGCTCAGTCATTCTCCCTTGTATGTGAAAAGCCGGACTCTTTCCAGCCAAGAGCAAGTCACACTGGATGTGGAGGTGGCAGGGCTGGTCCTGCTCCATTGCATGCCAGGAATCCAGGAATGTGTTTTCAGCTGGCTCCTGCACGGGCCATTAGATCTTCCAAAGCATTGTGTTGGTTGTTGTTATGTAATAAGACCTCCTTAATGTCTTTTAGTTCAAAGCCCATTTCTTTAAATTGACTCATTTGTTGAAGAAGTTCTGTGATCTGAAAGACACACAGCCCATTATTCACAAAAGAGGATCAGTGCTTGGTGGAGGTTTACCACAGAGCCAGTCTTCAGCAACTAGACACCCAATGGGGTGGTTTCCTACTCCCCAAGTACAGCCCATTCCAGCTCCATTTGGATAAAGTCCACTCACACCAAAGCCAGCAGAGCTCTGGGTGCAGTAGCCCAGGGAATCTAACCTGTGTTTGCATTCCTGCATTTCTAAAGTCCTCTTCATCTAGGGCACCAAAGCTCAGTCTGTAGGAGTGTCTCTCCCAGTAGCAAATTTATCTATCATCCTGGCCTAATTTGGACTCTGATTTATGTCACCCTGCTCCCCCATCTAGTAGCTACCGCTGCACCTGATTTTTTTTTTTTTTAAGTTACTTTGACTTTGGGAACAGTACAGTAGTCCTTGCTATCAAATGGCTCTTCAGATCTAGGGCAAACTTGGGGGATTAGCAGAAATCCTATTGGACACGCTATGTACCATACTAATCAACATCGACCATGAATCCTCCATGAGATCTGGAGGAAAAAAAAAAAGAGTAAAGTAACAAGAAGCAAATCAACTGATCAGACTTTTATGAACTCTCTGCCAATTACAGGGCCTTCATTCTACTTGAGGGGGGGAAGGGAACAAACAAAACCAAAAAACCCAACACACCACCCCCCAAAAAAGAACATCCCTCTCAAAAAAACACAAACAACAGGTTATACATTTCCTAAACTCAGTCACTTCTCCCATCTTCAAACCGTTCCTCTGTTTGTGAGCTCATCACTAAGTACAAGAAGGGGGGGGGGGGTGGGTTAGGGTTCACCATCTCTAAAGATTTCATATGAAATCTCTAAAGATTTCATATAACGACTTGGCACAACAGGATGGCAAACTTTTTAAAAGATCCTGCTGTCCTCTGCCCTGGCTACCCACTCCTGCCTCTGTATTTCTGATGCTGGTAAAACAGCCAGACAATAAACCAGACCCCAAACACCAGATTTTCCAGCTTCTTCCAGAGCAAGCCCTAACCCAAATTGCTGTGCAGCCTGGTAGACACATTTGTACAAGAGAAAATTCACAGTGAGGGAGGGCTGGCAGGGTATGAAAGATAATTGGTGATAAAGGTGATCCTGCTCCTCTACTCTGCTCTCATGAGACCTCACTTGGAGTATTGTGTACAGTTCTCGTGTCCTCAACATAAGAAGGACATGGAACTGTTGGAGCAAGTCCAGAAGAGGGCCACGAGGATGAACAGGGGACTGGAGCACCTCCCGTATGAAGATAGGCTGAGAAAGATAGGTTGAGAAAGCTGTTCAGCCTGGAGAAGAGAAGGCTGTGTGGAGACCTCATAGTATCCAATATCTGAAGGGGGCCTACAAGGATGCTGGGGAGGAACTCTTCATTAGGGACTGTAGTGATAGGACAAGGGGGAATGGGCTCAAACAGGGGAAGTTCAGGTTAGATATAAGGAGGAAGTTCTTTACTGTGAGGGTAGTGAGGCACTGGAATGGGTTGCCCAAGGAAGCTGTGAATGCTCCATCCCTGGCAGTGTTCAAGGCCAGGCTGGACAGAGCCTTGGGTGACATGGTTTAGTGCGAGGTGTCCCTTCCCATGGTAGGGGGGGTTGGAACTAGATGATCTTAAGGTCCTTTCCAACTCTAACTATTCTATGATCCTATAATTTGTTGCTTCTGAAATTAACTGTCTCTGTACCAAGTACCTTGCCCACAAGAGAACTCTGGGTTCAGAGCATTACAAACAGAATAAGCAGTGTCTTTAAAAAAATCTTGTCCCCATAAATATACATCCAAGTGAGTGATAAAACAACACAGAAAAATTCTAATGCTTTAAGCACATATTCACTTTATCACTGCAAGGATGTCCTTCAGCAGTCAGTTTTGGAAGCAAGTCAGCATTACCATGAAAGCCAGAATTACATCAGCCAGAGGAACTGCTGCTGGAATTCCCCATCACTGCACATTCTCTCTATGGATTAGCACATTGAACCCTCACCTTCTCCTCTGAACACTGATGCATTTCCAAAGCTGCTTCAACAAGAAGTGGATCAAAGCCCTTCTCACAAAGCTGTCCATGTGCAAACAGGTAATCCAAAACCTGGGGGGAATGAAGAAAAGAAACTAAGTTTGCAGAGTGGCATTTGCAGCGTGCGGTTGAATACCATCTCTGTACACACAGAGAGGCTGAGCATGACTCTACCCCAGGCTTCACCAGGGACTGAGATAAAGTCCTTCCTAGTAGAGTTGGGATGCTCTTTATGCAAGAGCTTGTTGAGAGAAAACAGATGATCCCTTCTGTCCTCCTGTGCTCTCTCACCAGCTCTGAATGTCATCTTCCACTGTAGCCAAAAGTTTAACCATGCTTTTTATACTACAAGTTTTTTAAATGAAACTGTAGGTGCAGCAGTCAAGATGTGTCAGCTTTTAGCTTCAGACAACCGCAAGAGCTGATGCAATCTGAAAGCAGTCAACCTTTTAAGATCAACTCAGCATACTGGTTAAGGGCCCATCCCAAGCTCAGAGCAGCTCCAACCTAGCATCCCACAGGTATGGCTGACTCAAGCAGTCTCTCATCAGAAACATACACAGACACTCTTTTATATGGTTTTAGGAGCCTTTACTGCCAGGTGACAGCTTCTCTAGTGGTTAATATTACAGCAGCTACAGGCTGCAACCCCTTGTTAGAATAAAAGTATTCTCCCCATCCATTTTGCAAACCCAAGGTTGTTTCTCAGCAGAATCAGCATCCAATCAAGGGTTTATTTCCTGTTGCACAAGCTCTTACCTGGTCTACGTTCTGTCCCTTCTTCTTCATGGCTTTCAGGACATTCTCAGGCGAGTACCCCATGCTGATGACTGTCTCTATGCACTGCCTCTCACTAGCAGAGAGGGCCTGCTGTAGCTCTGAAGCAGGGACACCTGACCATTTTGCACGGCTGGTGTTATTGGGCACTTTAGACACTGGGAAATTTTGGTGTGTTACCTAAAGGGGAAAACCCAGAGGCTAAGGTAACGGTCATCTTCTGCATCCCCACATCCTGTTTCTGGCTAGCGCAGCACCAGGATACTGCAATATGTAATTAATCTGAGAGCCTTTCTATACTGTCCTTGGGAAGTTATTCACTTTTAGAATGAAACCAAGCAGTGCACACAGTCTGACTCCCACTATACTCTTTTTACCCTTAAAACAACTATCAACAACAGATTCTTCACAATATACCCTCTCCTATCAGCGGAGGTAAACCTTTTAATACCAAACCTTATGATATAGTCAAGCCTTGCACCTCAGAGGAAACATGGAGGTTGTTTCCTTCACCCCAAGTTTACTTGTCAGCTTTGAGTACAGAAAGTCATAGGAACACTACTTCTGGAGATTTTCAGTAACACTATCCAGTGCACGCAGGTACTTGGGAACTTACCACAGGGATTTCTGTTTCCTTGCAGTCTGGGTGCACCTGCTGGACAACACAAGAATAAGATAACTATAAACATTATGCACCAGTGAGCAGAAAGCTGAGGGAGAAAAGGGTTTTATGAGAGATATCTGGGAATAAGTTGACTATACTAGGGAGACTTGTGGGCTAATCAGGCTTCCACATGTGAGATGCAGATGTTACACAGTTGCATGTAGATATAGTCTTCATAAGGACTGTTTCTTCTCTCAGCACTCTACAAAAACAGATTATACTCCAAGAAGGTTGTGTCCCCCCCTCATAATAACTGTAAGCTTGTTTATTTTGTCACTGTGACTGCTACTTGTTCATACAGCTCAGCGTAACATGCTGGTTCCTGTTCAGCTTGACCCAGTGCTATGCTGCCTGAATGACAGTGATAATTTTAAAGTCATTGCCTAGAGACTTCCCTTGATTTTTTCTGACCATGAGAAGGGGTAAGAGAAACATATACCCCTTTTCTACTTGCAAAGCACTGCATTTCATACACCATATATAAGTCATGTGACACACTGGCTAAAAAGAGTACATGATTTTTCTACCAACACCTGGCACTTGGTCCCATACCCAGTACACCAACAAGGCGGGATAGTGTTCCTTGTTGCACACATGCTCTGTTTCTGCAGAACAAGGCTGCCAGAGGGCAGAACCAACCCACTGCTTTGTAATACTTTGCCCCATCAAATCTGCACATTTCCATTCATCCATTTAAAAGTCTTCCTGCATTTTAAATCAAACTAGAAAAGACTGCAAGAAACTGCTTTGGACCAAGAGCCTCAATTTATTGCCTTTCCTTAATACCTTATTAAGCCAATATAGATTGCTTGAAAGTTTGCCCACTTGTTTCAGAAAAGCCTTTTCTGGGCCAAAATTAAACTCACACACACCCCATCCCCCCAAAAACCCCACAAAAAAACAAAACCCAACAACACAAAAAAAAACAATTCTGAAAATATATATTAGCATTTTGGTAAATGCCACTGGGGGGGGGGAGAAGGGCTCTGTACTGCATTTCCACCCATTTTCATCTCCAGGATAAAAATTTATTTTCTAGGAGACAAAACCTGAGAAATCAATTCCAGTAGAGGAGGGAAACACCTAAAGAAATTGCAGGGGACAAAGCCAGGACTGGTCACTCAGCAGCCATGCTCCTTTACATCTCAAACTTGCATTTCAGTGCTCTTCAAGAAGCAGACGTGCAGTGCTTCCAGTATGCCCTTGCACCCTGTGCCTACTTTTAGGGACTTCATACAGAGGCCAGGAGCCCTGCCTACAGCTGGTGTGCCCACACACATCACACTAGTGCAGCGGTAAGTAATCTGAATGGTCTAACAGGAGTGTCCCATCCTATCAGAACCAGAATTTACTGTAAATAAAATTCAGCAAACTAATCAGGTCTCTGATCAGTTTTGTTTAATTCCAACCTGTTGTCTTCACTAGTCATTTCTCCCTCTGCCCACACTGCAAAAAGCAAACCAGTGAGCTTCAAGGAAATATACTCAGAGGAGAGGGGACCACCCAGGAAAGAATCGGTGCAGCCTCAGAAAAATGACATGTTCATGTCCATTTAAAAAAGTCAAGATTCAATTCACTGGTAAAGCATAAACTCCAGAGGTAACTCCAAATCCAAAGCTACAATTTCTAGTTTTGGGAGAAAAAAAAAAAAAAATTGAATCACTGGAATACACTAGGGCATATATATTTCAGGAGGTGATCCTGCCCCTCTACTCTGCTCTTGTGAGACATCACCTGGAGTATTGTGTGCAGTTCTCGTGTCCTCAACATAAGAAGAACATGGAACTGTTGGAACAAGTCCAGAGAAGGGCCACGAGGATGATCAGGGGACTGGAGCACCTCCCGTATGAAGACAGGCTGAGAAAGTTGGGGCTGTTCAGCCTGGAGAAGAGAAGGCTGTGTGGAGACCTCATAGCAGCCTTCCAGTATCTGAAGGGGGCCTATAGGGATGCTGGGGAGGGACTCTTCATTAGGGACTGTAGCGACAGGACAAGGGGTAACAGGTTAAAACTTAAACAGGGGAAGTTTAGATTGGACATAAGGAGGAAATTCTTTCCTGTTAGGGTGGTGAGACACTGGCATAGGTTGCCCAGGGAGGTTGTGAATGCTCCATCCCTGGCAGTGTTCAAGACCAGGCTGGAGAGAGCCTTGGGTGACATGGTTTAGTGCGAGGTGTCCCTTCCCATGGTAGGGGGGGTTGGAACTAGGTGATCTTAAGGTTCTTTCCAACCCTAACTATTCTATGGTTCTATGATCCGATATGTCCTGAGGCTTTCTAAAAAAAACCCAGGCTTATTCTTGTGTAACCTTTAAGGGATACACAACACTTCTGCTCCCAGCCATAGTGATGTCTGACTTCCTTCTATCATTTTCATACTCTGAGGATTTTTGTTACATTTACTTCAATTTCTTGCAGCTCAGCTGTCATTTTCCAGCCACTGGGACCATATTTTGGAAATACGAAACAAGTGTGCTCTGAAGTCTTGGAACTGAAACAGAAAGAACTAGTTCTATCAGCATACCTATTTCTTGGTTTGCTACTTCCAAAGCAGAAATAGTTTTAAATTAAAATCTTTATTACTTCTCCTAGTAAGACTATTTTTTGTTTGTTTATTAGTTTGTATCTTCCCTTACAGCATTCTTGAGAATATACCTTCCCCCTCAGTCTTTAATAAGTTTTAATCCAGAATAGAGGTTTGAATAATTAGAGTGAAAATTTGGCCATCTGAATGCCATAGTTGTAAATGATCATTCATGCTAATCCCTGGGAATGTGTCATAGTTCAAGGTTTCACCTCTGAGCTACATACAGTCATACAATTGCCTTTCAAACCTGTGACCTGTAGCAGTTTGCAATTGCTCAGCACTGCTGCTTCTAGCAGTTTACTGTATTAAATTTCTTCTAGTGATCAATAAACAGCTGTTCTACTGTGCTCTGAAAAATACACGAGCTGTCAGAATACTGTATTTTACAATTGATAACACATTTACCTAAGCCTGAAAAGAGGAGAAAGAAGAGGAGAGAAGCAATGTCACTTGTTTCAGAGCACATGATGTCATACAAAAAACCCTTAGAGTATGCAAAAGTAAGGCCAAAGAAGCACTGCTTATATTGGACAGAAGAAGCCAGATTATTTTAGTGCCACTAGAGGATTTGACTACACAGTTTCCACTAGGCTTCGTAAGTATTGGCGTCCAGATCTTAGGTTCCACAAAAAGTCCATAAGCTTACTCAAATCTCTGCTCTTAGTCACAAACAAAGACAACAGCTGGTATGAAGTGTCCCCAAAGTCATTTTAGAACTTGCTACAAATGTGAGGAAATGAAGAGTCAAACTCCTATCTCAGAGCTGTACAGCAACCAACTGTAACATTAGCAATCTCAGATGATCCTCAAGACTGCTTTTGCTATCCACAAAGCAATCCTTCTACCCTCCTTTACAAGGAAGAGGGTAAATACCAGATTTCAGACCACCATCATTTTCATCCTTTTAAAGTTTAGATTTTGAAAGGGTCTCAGGAAAACAAAAGAAATAAAATAAAAAAAAACAACCAAAATAAAAACACAACCCCCCAAAACAAAAACAAAACCAAACAAACCCAACAGACAGACAATTCTTTCACTGCAGGTCAACTGCAAGCCCTTTTTAATATGTTATTGCTTCTATTCCCTGAAAAGCCTGTACTTCCCAGAAAATAAACAAGCTGAGGAACAAATCTACCAGAGATTTAACTCAAAAACTAAGAGCATTTCAGAATCTGATGTATCTCAGATAGATAAGACAGTATGCAGGACCGTACAAAGATGTCATATGCTTACCTCAAAGGTGTACAACTATGAACAACAAGAGCTGAAAGTCACCAGAACTGGTCTAAAAATAGCAGATGTGGGGGAACCTGCAGAATAATAATCTGAGGTTCAGAACTGCCAGCATGAAGACCTGTCTGATGATCAATTTGCCACGTAAATGAAGAGGAACTACCACCCATGATCTATACATTATTCCCATTAAATGAACCTAAAATTACAGGACATTTTAGAAACATTTGCCTCTGCACCTCTACATCTCCCCAGCAGCCACAATTCTAATCCACTGCATGTTTACCATAGTCACTGTACTTTGAGATGATTCTTCTATACAAACTGTTGACACAGCCAGGGAAGGCAGCCGGGAGAAAGAGGATAATGTTGATGTCTCCATGCCACTATCCTCACTTAGAGAGGAAAGACCAACCATGTGGTGTTCATTCAGTTCATTAGCTTTACTGTGAGCACAGGTCTGCAAAGAGCTGAGAAAAGTGCCATCGTGAAGACAGGTAGTGCTCTGGAAAGTGCTTGTGAGCTTTGATGATTTTTGATCACTCTCATTGGAGTCAAGTTTAGGAAAGGACAAGGATTTTATATTGTTTGCTGAAGTGATAGGGGACAGGGATACCTTGGAAGACAAGGACATCTTTTCACAGTTTCCCAACTGCGGTAAAGTGATAAAGCCATTGGGTTTGTGAAGGGGCTTGAAGTCCATCATGGCCCTTTCGACGGATGCCAGAACTTCCTCATCTTGCAGCACAGACTCAGACCCTCCTTTGGGCAAAGTATTATCTAACAGCTGGGCAACAATTGGCCCAGTAGTACCAACATGAATTTCAAGAATATTTTTTAATTCCTCCTTATCATCAAGAGTTTTTAATTCCAACTTGTCAAATGGGTCTTCTTCACATTCAAAATCAGCTGGGTTGAAGTCTGCTTTTGGACAAGGTGGACTGAGAACCTTTTGCTTCACAATGCTGCTGTTAGCTGGTGTGGGAGTAAGAATATTATTGTGCTGAAGGCTAGTAAGGATGGGATTAATAGGAGGAAGCATGGCCTCAGGGTGAGGTCCCTCTGAGAACCCTACTATGTTGCTGGCCTCTGAAGCTGATTTTGAGTTTGCTAGCACTTCTTCTGCCTTGCATTCGGCTTCCTTCTGGGCAGCTTGGATTTTTTTGGTATCTTCAGCCCACTTGATTGTTTCCTTTTCCAGTGAGAAGTCATACTGATAAAGGTGGAGAGGAAAGGAGAGGAGAAAAAAGAAAATTATAAGGATCATATGTTGCTGTTAGAAGTAGTAGCTAAGTAACACAGAATAAGAGATACATGAAATACCATGGACAAACAACAACTTTTTCCCAGCATCTCTTCTAACCTACAGTTGTGGTTTAAGCCCAGCTGGTAACTCAGAACCATGCAGCCACTTGCTCACTCCACCACCCTCCTTCCTCCCCCAGCTACTGGAGGGATGGGGAGGAGAATCAAAAGAATGTAACTCCCATGGGTTGAGATAAGAACAGTCCAGGAACTAAGGTAAAACACAGAATCACTACTGCTACCACCAATAATAATAATGATAGGGGAAATAACAAGGGAAGAGAATAAAACTGCTCACCACATGCCGATCAATACCCAGCCCGACCTGAGCAGCAATCTAGCCCTTCCAGATAACTGCCCCCAGTTTATATACTGGGCATGACGTGCTGTGGTATGGAATACCCCTTTGGTTAGTTTGGGTCAGGTGTCCTGTCTCTGCTTCCTCCTGACTTCCCCTCCTACCTGGCAGAACATGAGACTCAGAAAGGCCTTGGTCAGAGTAAACATTACTTAGCAACAACTAAAAACATCGGTGTTATCAACATTGATCTCAGGCTGAAAGTCAGAAACCAGCATTGCACCAACTACTAAAACCAAGAAAAATGACTGATATAACTGAATCCAGGACAGTATACACACTTCATTACATACCATTCACATTATGCTCAGATCCCATATTTTAAAATATACCATTGCTCTTGTCTCATATATATATATATACATACACACACACACAAAGAGAGAGATATCATTCCTCAGTTCATGGACCAATCCCTATAAAGCTTCTGAGTTCATCTGGTCCATGATGTCACGCTCTGTCTCTTGCAACAGTCTTTCAGAGAAAGGGAGACTGTGCGCAGTGTTGGAATGTTGCCTGCTGATGACAACACAGAACTCGTCTTGCCACTGCTGAGCTCATCTGGTTTTGCCAAAGTTCATTCTTTGTTGAGAAGATGGTTGGAGGGAAGTCAAGGCCAGTCACTGGTGACCTGAAGATATCTAGCTGGTGGGCTATAAAAGTGCTACATAGCAGGCAACAGCACATAATTGAGTTCACTGGCTGTTTTCCCCTAAAATCAAATCCCCTTGAGGTACACATTGGACTTCCCCATCTTCCGGCATTACCCAACAAGTATATCAAGGTCCCTGATCAAAAGCAATCCCACGAGTGGGTATGTCTTTACCGGAAGTGGGAAAAACACAGAATGTCTTCCCCAGCAAGTTCTTTATGTGCACCACAGGAACTTAATCCCCCTCTACGGTAAGTAAATGTTCTGACTGGGCTGGGCCAGCCCTGTTGGCAAATCCTCTGGTGTTGACCAACCAGGTGACTCTTGGTAAACGCGTATCCCAATGTTTGAAAGTCCCACCACCCATTGCTCTCAGTGTGGTTTTTAACAGCCAATTGTACCGTTGATTTTCTCATAGGCTGGTGCATGGTAGGGCATGTGATATACCCACTCAATACCATGCCCTCTGGCCCAAGTGTCTATGAGGTTGTTCCAGAAATGAGTCCCATTGTCTGATTCAATTCTCTCGGGGGTGCTGTGTCACCACAAAATTTGTTTCTCAAGGCCCAGGATAGTGTTCCGGGCAGCAGCGTGGGGCACCGTGTATGTTTCCAGCCATCCAGTGGTTGCTTCCACCATGGTAAGCACATGGCACTTGCCTTGGTGGGTTGGTGGCAGTGTGATATAGTCAATCTGCCAGGCCTCCCCATATTTATGCTTCAGCCATAGTCCTCCATACCAAAGAGGCTTTAACCACATGGCTTGCTTAATTGCAGCACATGTTTCACAGTCTTGAATAACCTCAGAAATAGTGTCCACTGTTAAGTCCACCCGTCAATAACGAGCCCATCTATATGCTGCATCTCTGCCTTGATGGCCTGAAGCATCATGGGCCCACCGGGCTGAAAATAATTCACCCTTATGTTGCCAATCTAAATCCATCTGAGCCACTTCAATCTTAGCCGCTTTACCCACCCGTTGGTTGTACCGGTGTTCCTCAGTGGCCCAACACAAAGGCACAAAAGAATCTACATGGCGTACCTTCAACACCAGGTTCTGCACCCTGGCAGCAATATATTCCCACAGTGCAGCAGCCAAGATGGGTTTACCTCTGAATTGCCAGTTGCTCTGCTTCCATTGCTGCAACCACCCCCCCAGGGCATTGGCCACCATCCATGAGTCAGTATAGAGATAAAATACTGGTCCCTTTTCTCATTCAGCAATGTCCAGGGCCAGCTGGATGGCTTTCACCTGGGCAAACTGACTCGATTCACCCTCTCCTTAGGCAGTTTCTGCAACTTGTCGTCCAGGACTCCATACAGCTGCCTTCCATCTCCGATGCTTTCCAACAATACAGAAGGATTCATCAGTAAACAAGGCGTATTGCTTCTCACTTTCTGACAGTTTATTATATGCTGGGGCCTCTTCAACATGCACCACCTCCTCCTCTGGTGAAATTCCAAAATCTGTGCCCTCTAGCCAGTCCGTGACGACTTCTAGAATTCCTGGACAACTGGGATTTCCTATTTGAGCTCATTGTGTAATTAGTGCAGCCCATTTACTCCATGTAGCATCAGTTGCATGATGTGTAGAGGAGACCCTGCCTTTGAACATCCAGCCCAGCACAGGCAATCGGGGTGCCAGGAGGAGCTGTGCTTCAGTGCCAATCACTTCCGAAGCAGCTCGAACCCCTTTCATAGACTGCCAGTAGCTCTTTTTCTGTTAGGGTATAGCTGGCCTTAGATTTATAGTATCCCCAAAACCAAAAGCCAATGGGTTGACCTCAAGCCTCCCCTGAAGCTTTCTGCCAGAGGCTCCAGGTAGGACCATTTTGCCCATCTCAGTGTAGAGTACATTTTTTACATCCAGCCTTGTCCAGACAGGTACAAGGGCTACTGCATGAACTATCTCTCGATTAATTTGTTCAAAGGTTTGTTGTTGCTCAGGACCCTATTAGAAATCATTCGTCTTCCGGGTCACATGATAGAGAAGGCTTACAATCAGACTGTAATTTGGGATGTGCATTCTCCAGAACCCCACAACACCTAAGAAAGCTTGTGTTTTTTTCTTATTAGTTGGTGGAGACATTGCTGTTATCTTGTTGATCACATCTGTGGGGATCTGGAGACATCCATCTTGCCATTTTATTCCCCAAAACTGAAACTCCTGTGAAGGTCCCTTGACATTGCTCTCTTTTATGGCAAATCCAACCTTCAGAAAAGGTTTTAGATTATTTTCTTCCCTTTCTCAAAAGCTTCTTTTGCTGTAACACCCCACACGATAATGTCATCAATGTATTGCAGGTGTTCTGGAGCTTGCCCCTGTTGCAGTGCAGTCTGCATCAGTCCATGGCAAATGGTAGGTCTGTGTTTCTACCCACTCCTGGGGCAGTCGGTTCCAAGTGTACTGGATGCCCCTTCAAGGAAAAGCGAACTGTGGCCTACACTCCTGTGCTGAAATGCATTGGCAATACCAGTTGTGGCATACCACTTGGCTGCCTCGGACACCAATTCATACTGAAGTTCTAGCATGTCTGGTAGGGCAGCACTCAAGGGTGGTGGTGTGACTTCATTCAGGCCACGATAGTCTACTGTTAGTCTCCACTCTCCCTTACATTTTCACACTGGCCATATGGGGCTATTAAAGGGCGAGCGGGTCCTGCTGATCACCCCCTGACTCTCCAGCCTATGGATCAGCTGATGGATGGGAATCAGGGAGTCTAGGTTGGTGCAATATTGTTGCTGGTGCACTCTTGTGGACACGATTGGCACTTCTTGCTCTTCAACCTTCAGCAACCCCACAACAGAAGGATCCTCTGAGATACCAGGCAAGGTGGACAGCAGCTCAATTTCCTCTGTCTCCAAAGCAGCAATACCAAAAGCCCATCAGTACCCTTTTGGGTTTTTGAAGTACCCTCTCTTGAGGTAGTATATGCCAAGGATGCATGGAGCCTCTGGACCAGTCATAATGGGGTGCTTTTGGCACTTCCTCCCAGTCAGGCTGATTTCAGCCTCCAGTATAGTCAACCCTTGGGGTCCTCTTGTCACTCCAGAAATGCAAAACCATTCTACCCCTTGACAGCTTCATGGCGTCAGGGTACACTGTGAAGTGCTATCTACTAGAGCCTTATACTCCTGTGGGACTGATGTGCAGGCCATCTGATCCACACAGTCCAGTAAACCCGACTGTCCCTCCCCTCTGCCTGCTGGAGGCAGGACCCCACTAATACTGATCATAACATTGGTCACTTACATCTTGTTGACAGGGATTAGTCTTTATCACAGAAGCTGGAGTAAAATCAGCTCTTCCTCTCCATCTGGGAACCTGCCCACCAGAGACTGAACCTGCAGATTTCATGGGATGATCAACCTTGACCTTTGTTCTCCTCTTCAATTCACGCACCCCTTCCTCCAGAGCTGAAGTAGGTTTTCCATCCCACTTCATCATGTCTTCACCGTGATCCTGCAGGTAAAAACAATGGTATGGCCCGTGGCGTGTACCTCCTATATCTTCTCTCTCAAGCAGTACGATGCCTTTTGTTAATAGCTGAGACATGGGTTGGTACACATGGGGAGCTGGATAGATTGGATATATCGTCTCTCGTTTAAGGTCCTGGGACAGTTTTTCCACAGCTGATGTGATGGAAGGGGTGAGATTGTCTTCGAACTCTCGGAGTTGACAAATCAGTTCATCCACTGCTGGTAGTTGTACGTCATTCCAGGTTATTGCTACCAAGGAGTGGGCATATGATGATGGTGCACTCCAGATAAATTTCCGCCAAATGGGTCATGTACATTTGACTTCATCTGGAACTAAAGGTGCATTTCTGGCATCTGGCCTGCGACAGATCAACTCTACAATGGCTGATTCCCTCAGAGACTGGATGCCTTTCTCTAGC